CCCCGAGTGTCCCGGGTCCTTTCCGGCCGCTGCCCGGCCCTGGGCTCAGAGGGCGCGTCCGAGTGAGTCCGTGCGCGGCCCTTTAGAGGAGCTGCTGGGGCTCCCGCAGCCTCCGCGACCCTCAGNGTTGTGGGGACGTCTCTTCCCAGCCTGGAGCCCTGGGCTGGGGGCCTGCTGTGGGGCTGGGACCCCTCGCTCCTCCGGGAAACCTCCACCCAGAGATGTCCCTCCCGGCTTTAAACCGCGGCACCGGGTGTGGGCCCCCGGCAGTCTCCGTGATTCAGCCCCGATCAGCCCGCGTCTCCGACCCTCCTACCGGTCTGGGTGCTTCTTCAGTTCCCTGGTAGGGCTTCTGTTCAGCCAGATTTCAGGAGGTTCTGAGTGATGGTGGTTCTGTATTTTAGTTGTAATTTTGATGTGGTTGCGGGAGGCGGCGGGTGCCGCTGTTACCTACGTCGCCATCTTGTTTTCCCCGAGCACACTACCGAATTTTAGTTCACAGAATTTATAACAACAACAGCAAACTACCCTGAACCTATCAAACCAACCATCAAAGCCCCCCAAACTCTCAAGTGAATGAAGGGAATCGCTGAACTCGAGATCAGGTTTTTTTCACCTTAAGAAATATTCCCTGAAGGAGCACGCTGAGGCTAAGAAAGGAGCTCCTGGGAAGCATTAAGGGGCTGGAGTTACCGTGTTTGCCTCAGCCCAGCTTAGAGCATCCCCATTCTAATGGGGGGACATCCTTATGGGTTTGGAGGTGTCACCACAATTCTGTTTGGAGCCTGGAAAACTTCGCTTCTGTCACGGCTCACATCTCTTCCTTTACTGGTCTCCGCCCAGAGGCCAGTTCCATCGCCACCTGGTCAGAAGGAGGATAGATAAGAAGTTTCATTCCTCTTCAATGTGAGAGCTCAGAGTTTTGCGCCCCGGGAGTTTGCTGCTCTGTGAGTGCAGATTACTCCTCCCCCTGCCCCACCCTTTGGCTGCCACTCTCTGGAGTTAATGAAGGTGGGCTTATTTCCTTTCTTGGGGAACTGTTGTTGGTAATTATAAGACTCTTCTCCCCCACTATTTTTAAATGGGTTTTGTTCACTTCATTATATAATGAGGTGGAAGGAGTTGTGATCAAGTCTTACTCCATCATTTTTTCCAGAAGCCTGGCTGCAAAGATTTTAATACTATGTCATAAAGGTTCATTACTATTATTTCTTCTCTATTAAATGTACCTTTTACTGATTT